GAATTCAAAGTAAATATGAGGGGGAACAATGTTCAGCTGATCTAACAGAGATTATAAAATACAGTGCTATGACAAAACACTCGACAGCTGATGCAGCTGTTGTCACGTAATAATGAACGGACGTCGCTTTTATATGACCGCTCAGAGGAGAGGAGTTCTCATTTCTTTAAACGTCTGCTGCTTCCCCTCCTCTCTCCTCGGTTCCCCTCTTCGGTCCTCCGCTCGCATCTCCTGTGGGCGGGACTAAGTCTCGAGGAGGGGAGTCGAGGAGGGGAAATGTAAGAATTGAGAAGCCTCTTATGAAGGGAGGTCAGAGTATCTGAAACGAGGGGGAAGGTTACTATTCAAAAATAAAGGGGAAAATCACTAGACAAAGACAAAAACACTTAACTAAACTTAACATAATTTGCGAGAGACGACACATTGACTTTAACACCCCATATATCAAAACTTGAGTTTGATTGCAAAATTCTTAAGGATTATAACTCGGACCATTTGCCGGGTATCATCCCTTCTCTAAATGAATATTGAATGCACAATGTAACGACTATAGAGTTATGACACCATCGACCTCAAGGTCTGTTCCCTCAAAGACTTGCTTTCAGGATGCACTTTTGTTTGCCATCGGCTGGCATTCTCCCGTTGACAGTAAAAGTCCTCGGCATATGCACCTCACCACTGCTAACCAGGTTAGCTCTTTGCTAGGAAACAACAACAAATAGCTTTCAACTTGACAAAATAGAAGCTATCCCTGGATAGCGAAACTACTGCAGCAATGTAAACTTTAGAAAATCTACTTTTATACAAAATAGCCCAGTTGAAGGAGAAGTTTAACAAGGCTAAGGAAAGTGAACAAAAAAACGTTATTTTTAACAAGCTAAATTAGTAAATAACTAAACCTGCCTTTGCATTTGACTCTGCCTTTATCATATCACTGAGATCGTGTTTTCAGTCCTTTTGTAACTTGATTGTTACAGTTTCATTTGCCAGGCTGCAACGTATGAATAAGTAGATCTGCTTGTTTTAAAATCAACAGTCCGAAAATGTGTTCTCTGATGTTGTAGTTTTGTGGAAAACAAAAAGCATTTGGTCTGTGGCACAGACTTGTATGGATGAAAAATAATTGTGGTGGTTGTACGGTGGCCAACAGGTGCAAGCGCGCTTTAACAGTCAAAAACATTTCCATTTGTAGAAACGCGCTGCAGCTTCAGAAACGATGCAAATGTATAACATCACAAATGAGCTAAAACACATGGAAATGAAGAAGAAAAACCTTCACCAACTTGACGAAACAGGCTAAAAGCTAAAAGCGCTGTATAAAAGAAACACTGCAAATACAAAATGCTGCAATAGAAAGTTGTCAAACTTTATGATCAACAAGCACTCTGGTCCCAGCTGTGTCCCCGTTTCTGTTGTGTTGTTAACTTCTTGCAGCGGTTTTCTTTTTTGTTATTTTTTTTGCAGCATTTCGTTTATGCACACTTTAAGTAAACGCTGCACATTTTTCGTCAAGTTGGTGAAGGTTTTCAGAATGCTTCACGTGTTGTCAAGTTGGTGAAGATGTTTCTTCATTTGCATGTGTTTTGGCACATTTCTGCTTTTATATTTGCAATGTTTAAAACGGCAGCGCGTTTCTCCTAATGGAAATGTTCTGAACTGTTGTAGCATAATTGCACCTGTCGGACATAAAACAACCACAACTCTACAGAATCATTGACACGTTACTGGGCGTGGAGAGTATGACTGAAATGATTCTCCTAAAGATAGCATTTGGCATTGTACAGTCTTGTTGTTGTGACTCACGCAAGTTAATTGAGCCTCGCCTTTGTGTTTGCTGTGAACAAAGTATTTTCTCAGTTAATCTGTCTTTGTAACTCATTTCAACAGTAACTGCTGTTGACTTCAAAGATTCTCTCTTATCGTACTAAACAGACGGAGAACGTCCTCTCTGTGTAGCGAAGTGGCTCGGTTTATGTCCCTCCAACATATCCATATTTGAAACATTTCTGTCTTTAGTTGACTGTTTTCTGTGAAGGGGACAACAAAGTAAATGACTGCATCCATCTATGGAGACTTAAACCCCCCACGCCCTCCAATCCTCAGCCCCTTGTGTGCTGCAAAGCTAAATGTATGGGTGCAATTTCTTGTGTGCTAGTCTCTTGTACTTTTTTGTTTTGGTGTAATAGATAAAATACATCATCACACAGCTAAGTCAGGATGTGGATTAGAATATATTTCAAATATACACACATGCGGTTGTTTCCCCAGCTTTTGAGTGTTGCTGTGCTGTATTCATGCATTTGATAACACCCAAGCAAATGTACTTACAGAAAATAAGTTGTTTATGCAAAAAAACCTTAAAATACTATTAGCATCAACTGATTTGAACAAGTTTCAAAACATGTTCCATTAAACATTTACAAAAAGACTATGGCGAAAGATATTGATTTTTAGAAAAGGTGTTAAATTGGGGTTAGCACTACTTTATTCTTTTGACTGCTTTAATTACTGTTGACTTCATTTTTTCTTGCGTTTTTACGAGGATTCAGTTTTCTTGTAATATTAAATCCTTGAGAAGGTTACACTCATAAACTCATAATATAAAATTCATCTGCCATGCTATAGTGTTAGTGTTGTTTAGAATATCTAAACTGTTCACTTTTAGTCAGTTAGCCTATTTTAGGCTGATTGTCTTTTTTCCAACCGCAGAAGGGGTATCACTCCACTCACATACACTTTGAATTGCCTCTCAAGGTTTCCTCAATTTTTTCCCTAATGAGCTAAGTGTCTCTAAAGAATCCTTTTCTGGTTTCCTTAGAAAGCTTGGTCTGGGGAATCATTGATGTTGTTATGAGCATTTGCATCTCACTGAGACAATGAACCATACGAACAGGGCTCCATTTCTTACAATATATACATATATACATTGTGCTGTCATATTCACTGCATTTATTATTAAGTTGATTGACATAAATCAACCATCATTTTGAAAAAATATGAAAGTTTTCACTTACCATTTGCTTTCACAGCATTTCTCCGATTCTTATAAGAGTTTTAAGAGTGCGCTTAAGACCTTCCTTTTTGATAAAGCTTATAGTTAGGGCTGATTAGATTCAGCCCCTAGTTTTGCTGATATAGGCTTAGTTTGTCGGGGGACATCTTACTTCTTCCTTCTCTCTGTCTATACCTGTGTACTCTCATGTTCCGATTAACCCAGCTTCCCCAAATGTCTTTCTTTTTGGTGTCTGTATACGCCGGGATCCGGAGTCATGGATGATCCTGCGCTCCTCTGTCCTGGATCTTGAGTCGTGGCTGTGGTCCTGGATCATAGGTCCTGGATGGATATCCTCGTGGATTCATCTTCCTATTATACACACATGCATTTCCAAACATTTGGACTACCTATGTTGCAAATGTATTATCTTTTCAATTTACACACGGCATCTATTGCACGTCTGTCCGTCCTGGGAGAGGGATCCCTCCTCTGTTGCTCTCCCTGAGGTTTCTCCCATTTTTCCCTTTAAACTGTGGGTTTTCTTCGGAAGTTTTTCCTTGTACGATGTGAGGGTCTAAGGACAGAGGGTGTCGTATTGTCATACTGATATTTTGTACAAACTGTAAAGTCCACTGAGACAAATGTAACATTTGTGATATTGGGCTATATAAATAAACATTGATTGATTGATTGATTATAAATAATATATAGATTTTTTTTGCTGGATTTCTTGATTCCCAATGATTCCAATAATGTAGCAGTATAGTTTTGACTGAGTGGTTAATGGTTATGTATTGCCATTGGTACTGTAATCAGTGGTGGAAGCAATATTCAGATATTTTACTAAAGTAATATTACTATGACAAGCTATGTAAAAACACTTCACTTCAAGTAAAGGTTCTGTGCTCAAAGTAAGTATTAGCAGCTAAATGAAGGCAGAGAAATGGTCCCAGAGTGTTGCCTTTGTGATTATTATGCATCCTAATATTTGATTATTAATGTTGCGGTTGCATTTAACACATCAGCAGCAGTTTAATGTCCAATGCTGGTGGAGGAAGTCATACTTGCAAGGTAGCTTCATCTGTGCCATTGCATTACAAATTAAGCGGTAAAATACATTTACTCAAGTACTTAAATCCAAATCAATGGTATTTGACCTGAATAATGTAATATGATATAGCATAGGTAGTTGCAATACAAATAATAAGCCTCACATTTGCACAACTAAAGTAATGAAGACATACATGTTTCCATAGATTTATTATATTATTACGAAATCTGGATATACTTTGCATAATGTTTACTTTTGGTACCTCAAGTAGCCTACATTGTGATGCTTATACTGTACTGTTTTTTTAACCTATTACCTGTGCTTAAGTATTTATTTACGATTGCAGTACCTTGTGTTTTAAAAGAGTATTTCTAAAGTGTGAAATGTATACTTTTACTTTATTAAACAATCTGGGTTCTTCCTACATAACTGTTACTCATTATGATGGGAGTAAAGTCTGCAAAGTAGCCAATACCTCCAATTAAGGATTCAATGGTTTAACTGTCATATGTATAATAGGTGTAGTTCTTGCAATGAAAAACCAGGTTCCTGCAACAATGCAATACAAATATACCTAAGACATTAAACGATAAAGAAGTGCAAGCAGAAATATAAATATATAAAGAAAAAAGTACAAGAAAATGGTGCAAGTGTCAAGTGAGTAAAAAGTAAAATACTTGAAAGAAAACATTGATTTGATATGTATGGGAGTGGGACTCTAAAGTAGCATCAAATGGAAACACTGAGCATATGATATACATTTTACTTGAGTAAATGCAGTTTTTATTAAATTATGCCCAATATAAATACATAATAGTTTGAACATATTTCACATAGATCAGACACACACACGAGTGGTGGCAGGTGCCAGCAGCACACACCCAGGCACCAGAGTGCCTGAGTCGGGCTCAGTATTACGACTGGAATCCTCTTGGTGACGCTCTGCTGACATCACTCTGATATTCCCCACTCAGCTCTCCGCAGCACACACACGGAGCTCCAGCTACTCACACACTCCGTCCACACTTTCTTTCCACATCTCTCCTCCCGCCGTGGCTGAGAGCGGCACCATCACACAGAGCAGCAGAGGCTACCTGTGCGCACTGCGGCCGGCCCCTTTTCCTGTCAGGAACACATTCAGAGAAGGAACGAAACTCAAACACGAGAGGACATTCTTACAGAGACAGGGGAAAGAGAAGCCACAACTTGTCTGCTTCCAACCCAGTCGTTTTGAACTGAACTCGGAAGTTTCTCGGCTGATCGGAGAAGGAATAATTCGGAGCCCGGCTGCCCCACACAGCGCTGTTGTGGATATTTACGTCCACCTTGTTTAGAAGAATGGCGAGAGATCACCCAGCACGCTGCCCGGTCTCTCCGGTGAGAAACACTTTGCTGATAGCGGCATCGATCCTCCTCGCAGCTCAAGGTAAGCCAAACCCCCGCGGGCTGTGTTTGAGTCACCCCTCCAGTGTCCGTCCTGTCCCCGCACTGTGCGCCCTGAGAGACGGGCAGCCCTTTCAGGCGCGCCGCTGCATGTGTCACATCCGCGTCCACTCTCCTTTGCAGCTGTTTTGGTGGACCGTGTGACCGTGTTGTAAAAGTTTATTGTCGAAACACACTGCCGGAATCTGAGTGTGGGGTTTCAGTATAGGCGAGGTGTGGCTCCGCCTGTGTTTTTTTGTCCTAATTCCTCGCAGCTTCAGACGGCAGGTGACTGTTCGGGAAACCTAATCCCCTCTGAGCCTCTACAAACCCTTCCAACACGGCCGACCTGTAATCTGTGTTTACCTGTTGGAAAGTGTTCCGGGCGCTCACAACCGCGTGTCTAACTAACATCTAACCATCAGAATAATGGCAGAAATGGGTCTTCATTGTGCAGAGCAACAGGGTGGCGATGGGAGATTTTTTTTTTAAATACTCGGCCCCTGCTCGTCAGGTGGCCCTTCAACAATGAGTGTTGAGAGCCCTTAATGGATATCCACTTCAGTAACCCTACAATAAAGTAAGATGTGATGGAAAAACAGCATTGCAATCAAAATGTCAATGATTCATCTCAGAAACCACAGTATTTACATAAAGACTGTAATAAAAACTGTAACAAAGGACACACTTATACAGCCTTATCCACATACAATCTGGAAAGTAAGTTTTAACAATATTAAATTCAGTGACGTTCTCTATACATTAACAATTAACATCAACACAGGATGTGCTTGAGACAGGTGCTTTTAAAGTTGTCACTATAATAAAAACAGTAAAATACGATGGGCCTTCTCAACACGTAAACTGTACAATGTAACACTATTAAACATCATGCTTTTAAAAAACATTTTAAAGCTGGAATTCAGAAAAACAAGGCTCAAAATCAACTTTTCTTCACTGCATTTACATGTCTGCCGATGCACACGGTTGCAGATTTATCCGATTGAGATAGCTTTGGCTGATAGCATCGACCTGATGTAAACTTACTGTCAACTAAGTGATGCAAGAGCAATGCAAGACACTGTATGAATATTATATTGCGTTAAGAGATACAAATCTAACATTCATGCCAGAAAACTTATTTTGAGCAACACAGCGAATGTACACAAATAATTCTAGGCTTGTTGTGATTTAAATCAAGTTTAAAAGGTATCAATTCTATTGGTAATCAATAAATCACCATCATTACCATAAATAACCCTACTTTGAACTCACTAATGCAGATAAGAGGATTGAGGATATATCCTACAATAAACAAGAAAACGTATCAATTAACCTTCTAATGATTGCCATAGCAACACTTTATGCCCCAATAAGAACATTTAAGAGATAACAATAACTGCAACCAACGATGGCATCACTCAAGGTTCTGCTGAGTAACACAGACATGCTCACACTCCCAACAGAAACTATTCTCGAACTTTTTTTTTTTCCCAATCTGAGGCCAGCTACAAAATTCACAACAGCCGGCAGTCAGGCAAAAGTGATGGGCATTACATATCTGTGAACCTGCTCTGTCAGCAGGAATCTGTCAGCCTGTTGTTTTCACCTGGGTGTAACTGGAATCTTCTGTCAGATATGTCCCAAAATCTCCAACCATGGAGCAAGAAGACGGGTCATTATGGAGCTGGAAGATGTTTCGTGTTGTGCGTTGACACCATAGGTTGACACGCCTTGGGAGACTTGCCTTTGAGATCAAAGCAAACGGAGGGCAAGGTATTTCAAGGCCTAGAGCTGCGGAGTGCTAGCTTTGCATTTTGCTGAAGCATCTGTTGCATAATAGGTGACAACGCAAACCGTGATTCTGACTAAGTGTACAAGGCAGGGCGAAGATTGAACCCTGATTAGAATGAGCTTTTTAATTATTTCTCCTTGTGCATTGCTGAACTGCGGTGCTAGAGAGCCCTGTGCTGTAAGCCATGCAGCGCAGGTTTGGCTGGTGTGAGGCTGACAGATTCTTAGCTGAGACTCTGCTACATCAGGGTTGTATTGTGAAAAAGCTGTCAGATTATCATGGCAGTATCCCCACAGGTTATGAATTAATTTCAACGTGCAAACAACATAACTGTCTTCTCGATGGAAAAACCTCGACGATCACAATCCAGCTGCTAAGCCACTGAAACTGAATGTAAAAGTATAAGCTTGAACTTTCCATATGGTCCCAGCATACAACACATTTCTTTTGAAGAGACAGTTCTTGGCTGGGTTGTGTGGATGGATGATCTCTGTGTGTCGCTGGTAGAAACAAATGAGCGTTCTGAAAAAGGGGTAAGTGAAACTTTAACCGGGAAGTTCCAAGAACAATGTTAACCTTCAGTAAAACAGGCAAAGTAGAGTCGAAAGGATATCATTCCACAGCAATGATAATTAAGTCACTTCAGGTGTCCCCCCCCCCCCCCCCCCCCTCTTCACCTCCCCTCCTGCACTCGTCTCTACAGGCCCGATTCTGTGCAGAAATGTCAATGATGATGAGTCTCCTCGACGGCTCGGTGCAGACGAAGGGCTGATTAGCTTATCACATGGAGAGCAGGCGGCCGATGATTATCACCCTCAGAGCGGTGCAGCATGATTATGGAGAGCTCTTATTAATGACTCATCATTTAACCATGATTCTGTTTGTTGTTTGCATATTTGTGTAGTGCTGTAGCACCGATATGGATCCATGTTAGGATCTATAGTGCTTGTGAAGCAGTGCAGGTGAAGTTTGAGATGAAAAATCCTTGGATGAAATCATTGGCCTGCTTAAGTTTGAGCATGAAACTCTTCACAACCTCCTGCTTTAGAAGTAACACATATCCACTGGTGTATCATGTATGGCATTTTAAATAGGAATCTAGGGCTGCTCAATTAATCGTATTTTAATCGCAATTACGATTTTGGCTTGCAACGATTATGAAAACAACATCGAATTAAAACAATTTTTTTGTTTTTTAAATGTATTTCCCCAATACATTTTTCTATTGGGTTTTCAATTAAATGATACTTACAGTTCAGAGTAATCAACTGTTAAAAACATATTGTTCCATTTTTTTTCAATAAATGGATGTTTTCAAAGTAAATGGATAATCGTTTTTAATAATCGTGATATCAATTATTGACCCAAATAATCGAGATTATGATTTTTGCCATAATCGAGCAGCCCTATAGGAAACCCTGCATGTCTTATTGCACTGCTGTAGTGACATAGCTTACACAACAACACGTTTGAGTTCAAAAGATTAATCTGTAAGAGAAGCCAAAGAAGGCAGTTGTTGCTTTTGAGGCAAGAATTATTAAAAGGTTTCTCTTGGCAGTATGTTTTAGTTGATTAATAATAGGAAGAAGCCTGAAGGCTCAACAAAAATATCATATTATTCCAAAAGCAAGGGGCCGTTTGAAAAGCACATTTTCTCAATTTCAAAAACAGATTTTCTTTTCACTTTACATAAATCTTATATTAACCCCGTGCAGTCACATGAACCTCAGATTGTAAATGATTTGGAGCCTTCACTATCTTTTCAAAACAGTTTGCGGCACAGAGGTCCCTGCCTCGTAGTGGCTGAAGGCAGAAAGGCTAAATGTCAAGGAGTTAGTCTCAGGAGAGGAGCCCTTGTGAGGGTGGAGAGGGTGGAGGGAGGGGTTGACATTGTTGCCTAGAGAGGTATTATCTCTTGGTTGCAATGTCAATGACTGTGTTAAGCAGCTGGGTGAGATATGTAATGTGTTTTTAGCATATAAATTGTTTTTGTTTTGGTTGTGGGATTGATTATAAGTAACTTTGCAATCTGTGTTTGTGAGACGTCTCTCTATAGAGCGCTTTAAAGATGTGAAATCAAAGTCACCGGCAAGCAGTATACGATAAACAGGACTGTTTATCAGATAAGAAAAACAAGGCCACAATTAGTCATCCATGCTGAATGATGATGATCACTTTTTAATGAAATCTTGTTTAAGCCTTTTAATCTTAACCCACCATATTAAGAAAACAAACTGCTGTCACAGAGGACCTGAAGTGACATGCAGTTTCAGGCACGTTGGCCCCACTCTTAAATGTCAATGGCGCTTCCTGGTGAGGCATGGGGTGATAATCATCCCCTCAAGACCGGACCGTTGATGCTCATTGAGAGCTTATTAATGACTCACACCAGCGCAAAGAGCATGGTAATGCCAGGAGCTGTTAGTGTTTGGGCCAATGTGTTTGTCTGGGATTCTCACCCCGAAAAGCACAGTATAAAGTCCTGCTAATTTCCCCATTAATTACAGCCTTCTCACGGATTCATGGACAGGCGCTAACACGGTGTTGCATCACATTGTGTGTTGCGATCTGTTTGTCTCTTCCGCCTCTGGTTTTATTGATCAAGGATTCAAATGTTAATGACTTTCCCGGAATACTTTGCTGGATGACGAACGATGGATTAACTTTGTGTTGCAGCGTCTTGCATAAGGCTGTTTGCTTGTTTTTAAATGTACATCAAAAGAAGTAGTGTAGAGGTCCTACCTTCCAAATTCCTCAGTGCAGCGTTTACGGACAGAAGTAGAGGTTGGTTCGGTAGGGCACATTCAGAGATTGGGAGCAGGTCGTCATGGATACAGCTTTGTGGATGAGACACATTCTCATCCCTTTGTTGTGCAGCCATGTGTTTATGCCTTTGTGTGGACCTTTTAAAGAAACTAGATGTAATTAGGAGGAAGAGGTTAGACTCCGGGGTTGCTGTCAGAAGCTCCATCAGTCCAGCTTGCTGAGAGTCCATCACTCTGCCTGCCAAGACCCAGCAAGCATGTGTGTGCACTTGGTCAGCGCTTTTTTTTTCATTCCACTTCTAAGGAAAGCGGTTACTTAGCAAATTCCAGATCACATTTCCTTAAATAAACCGTATCATGGCTAACACCTTGACTTCCTTAGTGATTCTACCCCAACAGGTGTTGGTGTGAAGAGGGATGGCAGAGCGTAGCAACAGGAACAGG